AAAAAAAAAAATAAAAAAAAAAATATTTGAATTCTTTTGCAATTACTTAACATTGGTTGTGTTTGTAATTACCCTTATTATTATTGTTATTGTTGTTACTGCTATCACAATTTTACGTTTGACTTATAGCACCCTCTTCAATTTTCATTTATGAGAGAAAGATCAAAATAGATTTTATTAGGCTATTCCAATGTCACTTTCACATGCACTCCTTCATAATCTCCTTTTCTTGCTTGATTCTTGCAGTCCCTGAAGAGAATCTGTTGGTTGCCGACCAACAAGACACGGTTAGTCAAAATTAATAGTTTGTTTATCAAAAACAGAAAAAAATTAGAAAAAGCGATCCAGGCTTGGTTACTCTGCATCTCAAAGTTGTGATTTGAGTTGTTGTCTTGCAGGATAGGTTTGATCACCCGTATGCTTCCTTCTTGTTTTACGGTATGGATGGTGCTGGGGATTTCATCCCTATCAGGCAGCTTCGGGAGAAGTACAACCAGCCTCGGCATGAGCTACCGTACGACCCAAAAGATGCGAAAGAAACATAGATTCTTTGTTACCTTTTACTTTTGTTTTTTTCACGGAATGCACTTTTTTTATTAAAGCGTTGGGGATTATATGGTGCATCATCGTAAGTGACGGGAATCTGATTTGTGTTATATTAATGGAGTTCGATTTTACGTCCAGACATGTGAATATGTGATGAGGCTTTTGTGTGCATGCAGATATTTGGTCGTTTGTTTATGGAAAGAGTAGTTGTTAACGAGACAAACTCGGCTCACCTAATTTTTATAGAATTTTTTATAGCTCCAGCTCGGCTCGGCTGCATAAAGCTCGAAAAATAAAATTTTTATATAATTTTCGGTAGCTCGAGTTCGATTCATTTATGTTGATAAACGAGCCGAACTCGAATTCTATTCTGTCTCGTTTAGTTAACGAGCAAAGCCGAGTTCGACTCACTAAAGACACGAGCTCAAGTAATATGGGCTTCAGCTCGACTCGACTCGTTTACACAATATAAGAATACAAAACTTGATAGTTAACGAGCAAAGCCGAGTTCGACTCACTAAAGACACGAGCTCAAGTAATATGGGCTTCAGCTCGACTCGACTCGTTTACACAATATAAGAATACAAAACTTGAAATTCGTATTTTTTTTTGAAAAAAATTGTTTGTTATGACATATATATAATTGATCATGTTATTGAAAGATATGTATTTTATTATTTATTCTTACTTTCTCATTTTTAAGTTTAATATTTCTACTCTTTGTTTCATATTTTTCTTTTATGATTTTTAATTGAATTTATAGTTCTTTTCCCTCTTTGAAACGAAAACACAATAATGATTTTTTAATAATATATCAAGTTAATCCTCTTTTACCAATGGTTATATTTAATACCAACAAACATTCATTTATAAAATAAAAAAGAACGTTTTCATATAAATATAACAAATTTCATAAAGTTCCCTCATAAAGTAAAGGAGGTGTTGTAATTGATAAATGAACGGATTAATTGCGGGTTCTTTGGAAAAAGTAACAATTTTTATTTTTGGAGAAATTAATATGTATTTATATGGACATAATATGGTTGTAGAGAAATAGTAATCGATATCAAGCTAATAAAGAAGACGAAAAACTATAAAGGCGAGAAACGAAATAAACAGATTTTACCGATCGGTTAAGACAATCAGTAACGAGAATTGAATGTTTCTCCAGAAGATTAGTAGTGTATGATAATTGTATATTTGTTACAACTTGTTCTGTGAAGGGCCCGATGGCCGAATTTATACACGAAAAAATGGAAAGTGTAATAAATGCGCTGTGCCAACTAAGGCGTAGGGCGACGTCTCCATGCAAAATCTCGACTTTTGATTATGTGACTGGTTGGGCGGTTCCTTTACCAGTATGGTTTATAATTTCGTATTCGTACGAGGGAGATCTCTTTCTTCTAGGGGAAGATATGGGATTGGATCGACATTCTTTGATGGATTGGGTGCTAGTCGGGAAGATGAGCGCATTCCGCCAACTGTGTCTTTTGGGCTGCTTTCTTCATGGTCCTCCGGCCGAATGAGTGAAGATCTTAGTATTCATTTGTCTGGGCCCAAGGGGCTAGTTTAGGGTGCATGCAAAGTATCTAAGAGAATAGGGGATCGACGTCAGCCAAGTTCATCATAATACGATGTACCATCTGTGCTTCTTGATCGTTATGTTTAATAAAAAGGGATGGCCTGCTCGAGGAGTTGGACTCCATTTATATGTCAAAAACATCAAAGCCGGTATCTTTTGGTGCCACGTGATGACAAAAGTGGAAACATGAGTGGTTTTTGGTATCAGGAAAATAGGAGACTTGTCGACCATCCGACTGTTTTGCGTGCATGTCGACTGGCTTTGTGGAGAAAATGTGCAAGTTCTAGTCAAATTGGAGGACTACTTTTTTCGTTTTGAATAAATCTCACATTCTATATATATATATATATATATATATATATATATATATATTTTTTGTACTAAAATCTAAAAATTAAGCTATGATGTAATAATTTTTAAATAACTTATTTAGTTAATGTAACAATTCAATTACAAATGTGATACATATTGTTCAATAATTTTTATTGTTGTCATCTTTATATAAAAGTTTATGTTATTTTTTTTTAATAATCTTTGCATATGCATAGGATGGATTACTAGTATAAATTTAACATGTAAAACAAAATAATTAATTAAAAATAATCTTATACAATATTTATGCATATCCTCCAATATATAATTTCAGAATACGTGGAGCCTAAAAGTGACGAACTCTCACGCTTCGTAATCCTATTTGACAAAAAATCATGCTTCGGAGTTAGGTTTGGATATAAATTAATATTTTTTATCTAAGAAATAATTCGACTTGGATTTCATTTGATGTATATATTATTCACACTATATTCATGATTGATTTTTTCCTTCTTTACTTCTACAACTAGTTACATAAGCTATTTTATATTTCCTTTTCTTACATTACCATACATTACATTTCATCTTTTTGGTTAATTCATACATCAATTATTATAAATTTTTCTTCTTCTTATTTTTAGTATAAATTTTTTGCTTATATTTTATTTTCATATATGATATATCAAATTAACTATGTTTTAACGATTTTCGATTTGACATCCATATTATATATAAAATACAAAACAGTAATATATATCCTTACAAATAAAATTTAAATTTATTTATCAAACGAACTTCAAAACTACCAAATAAATCTAAAAATTATATAACATAGTAATAAAAAACATAAAATAGTTATTTTATTTAGGAAATAAATATATAACTAAGTATGAACATCCAATTAACATAATAAATATTCTAATCATTTATTTCTCAACTTACGTATAGATTACATAGAGATTGAACATTATAATGATCTTGAAACATAAATAAATGTGATAATAAAAATAATAAAAATTATTATTATACTTCATAAGGTTTAAAATCCCCCTATATATAATTCTCGAATGTGCTAGAGTGGCAGTCTCTCGTGCTTCAAGATCATATTTGTTATAATTCTATGCGTTGGATTGATATATAACTAGGCTTGGGTGCCATGTCAAATGTCAATTAGGCATGGTTATTTCCATAATATAATAAATATTTTTTTTATTAAAATAATCATTATTTATTTAATTCCATACTTTTTCTTCCATGGTTACCTTAATACTTATTTTTTCTTTTTGTTTCATTTTTTTTCTTTACATATCTTCACTATATCAATTATATTAATTTAGTTTTTAATCTTTCTCTCCAATGTTCATATTTTATCCATTTTGAATATGAAATAATATGATATTATTCTTTGAAAAATTATGTTTATTCCAGATTTAATTGGTATGTTGTCAATCTAATAAAAATAAATAGTTATTTATCTAAATTCTAAAATTATATATAAAGTTAGAAAACTGTGAAGCACGACTGATACGATACTTGATCTATTAGGCTTATAATTAAGTAAATAATTATTCTAATTTACTTAATTTTCAACAATCATATTCTACACTTATGCATATACATATCACCATATTCTTTTATTCATTTAAGATATATGTTTTTGTACTCATGTAATAGTAATTGATATTGATCTGTTTATATGATATAATACAAGAAAAAAAGTTTAATATAAGTTGACATTTTCATTTAATATACGGGTATTTAGCTATATGGTTAAAAAAAATAGTTTGACAATTTAGTAAAAATCCAAAATAATGTTTTATATAAAATTAAATTATTTTAGTTGTAAAAAAATAAAAAACATTAATATATTTATATACATATAATAAGAGTTACCATTTATCAAAAATGGCAAGTCAACTCTTTGGTCAAAATAAGACATAATTAAATAGTTTCCATTTATGGCATTTTTTTTTTTATATTTCACTTAAAGGATAAATTAATTGCAGTTCAAATGAATTTGTTGCATTACAGGGGCAAACAATTCGGGACTTAATTTTTGGGAAACAAATCATCCCTTATATGAAGGGATTTACTACTTCAAAATATGGAATTGTTTCATTTTTGTAAANTGATCTATCGGATATTGTTTTTAGAATAGTTGAAAGAAACAAATAATCCCTTATATGACGGGATTTACTACTTCAAACAAAAACTCACGTGCTGAATATTTTTTTAAAAATGTTCAAAGTAAAACAAAGTTGATTATTCTCGAGAGTTTTTAAAGTTGATCCGTATCAAAGATAATATTTCTGATGTTATCTGATATTACCATAAAAAATGTGTGCAATCAAGTCTGATGATATAAATAAAAAATAAACCAACTATGAACAAAAATTAAGATAGATAGCCTATTCATAAACAATTGATGAAAAACAAACAAACCAATTTTATGTCGAAACATTACAATTTTTATTTTAAAAAATATAGAAATTATTAAGAAAAAGTTTACGTTTATTTACAGTCTTATTTTGATTTATTTGATGGTCAACCTAATAATTATTGTATGTAATTTTTTTGTTTTATTTGGAGAAAATTGTGAAATATGGAATATGAAATAAGAGGGGATGTTGAATATGAAATTAGAGGGAATCATTAAATTATGTTTCTATCTATAAATTATTCAACTCACTATTAAGGAAGTAACACGATTCAAACTAAAAACATGCTTTATTAGTGTAGCTGGGAATATAAAATAACTATCTACATAAAATAGGATTGAAAAAATTTTAAACTTGAAATAAAATATAATTTATATTATAGTTAGAAATAAGAAAAGTTGTCCAAGTGTGGGGCAATTTTTTCGACGACAACAATCAACATCCGCAGCCTATGAGAGAAGCCCAGCAATGGAGCCCAGTTGTGTGAGGCCCAGTTTTCGCAGCTCTTTGTGCAGCCCGTATTCGGCCCGTGCCCCTCACAAGTTATCCAATGATTAAACTCATAATTTTGTGTACACAAAATTTTTTAATAATATAAGATTTTTTCGTGACGAACATTTTATAATTGAATAATGTTAGTATGTATTAAACTCTCCAAATTATATAATATTCTCCAAATTATAATATTCTCCAAATTTATATACCTTTATATACCTCGTGCATCGCACGGATATGCATTAGTTTTATATATGCTAATTAACTTATTTTTCAAACATGATCACATTGTTTGGATCTCTAGAACACCTGATTAGTCTGTCCCACTACCCAAAACTGAGCCAAACTTGGACTGCCGCTTGGAACTCGCACGCCGGCGCCACCACCGCCGTCTGCAAACACGGAGGCGCTCCTACTCCCGCCGCAATTAACAAGACCCACC